CCCCCAAGATCCCTTCCAGCTCAGTGATTGTTATATGAAGGCCTGCAGACTTTGTAGCACATTACTCCTGTTTTACTCCTGGTGACTTCCATTTGGAGCCGGGCAGTGCAGAAACTGGAAAGGTCCAGTTGACCAGGAATTAACAAGGTTTGTTTTGACACAAACCGTGAACGGTGAAGCCAACCTGGCTTGATTTGGGCACTGCAATCCACCCGACATAAACCAGCCATCATCTGAGGTGTGACCTCCTCCGCCTTTGCCCTTGACTTAGTGACTGTTCGAAGTTACGACAGCCCTGGGGGAAAAAAAGACTTTTTCACACTGAAGGATGGTTGCAGAATCCCTTCAAAATTCAGACACGGCTTAGCAGCTGAGTCATAGTTACGACGGTCACAGCGTCTCTGGTCCTGCGATCCCTTCTTGCGTCCTTCCAACAAGCGAGGTTGACGGGCAAGCTGCATTCCCTGAACAACTGTGTGAGTAGCTTAAGAGTGGTGGTGATTTGCTTAATGACGGTCCTAAAACGGGGCAAAGTTAGTTTAACAATGGTTATGTTTTGTGAGGGAATTTGGGGGGCCTCAGTCGTGGCCATTAAGTTGAGGACGGTTTGTCTTTCAGGATACAGAGTCCTTTCATTTCTTCTCACCGTCGTTAAGTGAATCATTGCAGTCGTTAAGGGAGCCACATGGTTGTAAAGCAATTCCGGTTTCCCGACCTTGCCGGTCGGAAAGGTCACAAAAGGGGATCGCGGGACCCAGGGGCCCTGCGACCGTCATAACTATGAGTCTGGCCAAGCACCCAAATTTCGATCACGTCACCAATTGTGGCTGTCCTTAAGTGAATCAGGCAGGGTGGGGAGAACTTTGGAGACTGTAAAAAGGGAGGGGGCTGGAACTATGGGGGGGCGTGGTGTCCTGCTTTAGCAGGGGGCTGGACTAGATGACCTCCAAGGTTATTTCATGATTCTCTGTGAGGCTCCCCTGCTCGAACGGGGTTGGGCTAGATGACCTCCAAGGTCCCTTCCATTATTCTGATTTCTTGTGAGGGTCTCCTGCTTAAGGGCCGGACTAGATGACCTCGAAGGACCCCGTGCAATTCTGCGTTGTGTAGAAAGCCGCCCCTCCCATGTGCTGCGCCGCACTCCTCGCACATGCGCAAAGGGGCTCCCCTACTCCTTCCCGCCGCACTCCTCTCTTGGCAAGTCGGCTGCAGCGATTGGACGCGGCAGCCTGCCAATCCCCTTCCCGAAGGGGCGTCACCGGGGTCTCACGACGCCACCGATACGAAGGAAACGTAAAGCCCGGCGGCGGCTGATCTGCGCTTGCGCAGTCAGCGTCCCTGGGAAAAAAGACCAATCCGCAAGCAGCAGGGACGCCCCGCCCCTCCACCTGACTCTCTCTTTTTAACCACCGCGCTGCCGGTGCGGAGCGAAGCCGAAAAAGGGAACGAGAGCAGGAATTTCTTGGGAAAATAATAAATGAAATAAAATAATAAAATACTGGGAAAGTCTCGAGAACTGAGGCCCAGAATAGAGATGGAAGGGACCTTGGAGGTCTTCTAATACAGTGGTCTCCAACATTGGCAACTTTAAGGCATGTGTACTTCAACTCCCAGAGTTCCTCAGCCAGCTTTGCTGGATGAGGAACTCTGGGAGTTGAAGTCCACAAGTCTTAAAGTTGCCAAGGTTGGAGACCACTGTATTAGAAGACCTCCAAGGTCCCTTCCATCTCTATTCTGGGCCTCGGTTCTCGAGACTTTCCCAGTATTTTATTATTTTATTTCATTTATTATTTTCCCAAGAAATTCCTGCTCTCGTTCCCTTTTTCGGCTTCGCTCCGCACCGGCAGCGCGGTGGTTAAAAAGAGAGAGTCAGGTGGAGGGGCGGGGCGTCCCTGCTGCTTG